GCATGCATTGAGATGCATGCTGTTTTTAACGCATGCATTGAGATGCATGCTGTATTTAATGCATGCATTGAGATGCATGCTGCTGCTACAACTCGTTTTCGTGGAATATTTACTAAGTGAGCTTTTCGGTTTTATTTTTGATAAGTCCGTCGGATTCCTTGTGAAATTTCCGTTCGAACGAGCCTACATGTGATGGGGCCCCGGCGCATAGTTACTTCGTACGTTCGGTTTAGCGGTTTAAAAAAAAAATATTTGAAGTTTTGGTATTCAAGTTGGGAACCCCATCACATGTAGGCTCGTTCGAACGGAAATTTCACAAGGAATCCGATGGGCTTATCAAAAATAAAACCGAAAAGTTTACTAAGTAAATGTTCCACGAAAACGAGTTGTAGGAACAGCATGCATCTCAATGCATGCATTAAATACAGCATGCATCTCAATGCATGCATTAAAAACAGCATGCATCTCAATGCATGCGTTAAATACAGCATGCACACCATGCATGCTTTATATAACGCATGCAACCCTGGGAAAAATAGTAAGTGGCAAGGTGGCATTAAGGTGGCAACTAGGTGGCGAGGTGGACGAAGTGGCATGTAAGGGGCAAGGAAGTGGCAACGAGGTGGAATGCGGCCGAGTGGCATAGAGGTGGCAAGCAGGTGGACCTGGGTGGCATCAAAGTGGCATCGAGGAGCCAGCCCCAGGTGGATGTTAAGGGGCATCTAGGTGGTATCGTAAGTGGCAAATAGGAGGTTAGGTGGAAAGTAACTTAGAATAAGTGGCGAGGCGTCCTGCCAAAAGCGGTCAATTGAAATGCAGAGACAATAAAAAACAATCAAAACAGCAAGAGAGAAATTATGAGAAGAACTATTTTGTATATAGAATATGTATATTTAAAAAAAAAAAGTTCATTTTTATCATTTTAAGTATATTACCCTTAAACCATGTTTATTTTTTGCTTTCAGCCCTGTAATAATTTTAGTTTTTGTATTGTTATTATGTTTTGTTTTAAAATGTTTCTGCATTTGGTTGCTTTCTCTAAATGTTAGCCGTTCTGAGATCTATTACCTTGGCAAAGCCGCTAACCTTTACGGAACTTAGTGGTGTTAAAAATGAGATACTTTTGCATTGCTCACAGACATATAAACGGTTTTGCATAAATTCTTATAGTAAAAGATTGTTCTCTATTTGTCTTTATCTTCACCAAAGAAACATTTCATGATACTTTTGTGTAAATTAGTAAAAATCATATTGCTTCATGTTAGATATTTTGAGTCGGATAAGTTTTTAGATTAGCCGCTGCAATAAATTAGAAGGCAGTCAAATCAAGGAGACTGGATTTAAAGAAAATGGTTGACGGAGTGAGCTCCAATTCGTTTCATTGTTAAGTGTCTCCTGAAATTGAAAACCAGGCTGAAAACTTACTGAGTCAAAATTTTGTTTTTAATCTGGTGTCTTACTGAGTTGATAGATCATATTTGAAGCTTGCAAATATTGTTGCTACCTTCTTATTTATTTCAGTTTCTAATCTAATACCTCAATATATACAAAAGTATTATGAAATGATATGTGGGTCAGATAAAGACAGAGAGGAAACAATCTTTTACTATTGGAATTCATGCAAAACCATTTACAGCTCCAGGAACAATACAAAGTGTAACATATTTAACACCACCAAGTTCCGTAAAAGCCAGCGGCTTTGGCAAAGTAATGGATTCTTGAACGGTTACCACTAAGAGGTATGACACTCTATGACATGCCAACTGAATACTGAGACATTTACAACTGGAGTATAATAAATTTAGGACTCAAACAACTAAGGGTAGAGAGGAATTACAAGTCAACAAGTCAAATAGTCAACAACTCACTGGCTTGTGGGCTTGGGGATTGTGGCATATTATGGGCTAGTCCCAAGTTAAAAATATGGTGCAAAGATAATGAACCTATTAAATTGAAAATGCATCGACATAGCGGCACCACACTAACGTTTCAGGAGACGCCTCCTGAACGTTTGATCATCATAATCAACTTCAAAATCTATTATCTGAATTTCAAATTTGGCACAAAATTAGCGCTACCAACAGAAATACTTAAAATTTTAACTCCAATTTTCCAGTAAAAGTTTTAAGCAACAAACATAGTGAATTTATTCACTTATTTCCCGGAAAAACAACTTATATTTTCGTCTTACACCTGAGGTTTTCTATTGACTGAATTGACAATTAAAGTATTGGAGGCATAAGGGTGGCTGTTTTGCGGTGTTCGTCAACTGTTGATGTCAACATAACCTCTAAAGGTAACACGAGTTAGTTCGAGCCGGTTTGAAGACCTAGACTGTATGTGTGTCAATTTTTTTAACTTTTCAATGTATTCATGTGAGAAACTACTGATCAATCAGTGTGGAGTCGTTAGAATAAGTGACGGAATGCGAAATGCAGTTAAAACGTAGACGATTTGTGGACTTTTTAATCTCATGTAAGTATACTTTGTACATGCATCTCTTTCTCACCACCAAGTGCAAATGCTTGATTGTTATACTTAAATGTTTTCTTCTTTGCAGGATCGTGCGACCCTGGTATTTGTTTATAAATTAACTCAGGTGGAAATCTTCCTAGTTTATTCCTTTTGAGAAAGAAATGTGGACTAGTTAACACCAGGTAAAATTTTCCTAACCCGTACCTTATGTTTCACAATAACTTTCAGAACAGAACATCAATATTGAACTCTTTTTATTTTTGCAGGACTAAATTGGAGGTGAACATGTCATCATTGCCCCGTACTAAAGTATCACTCACCCACCAAGACAATCTATTGGAGAATACTTTTCACAGGTAAGAGCAGTTTTCAAACTGTGAACTGATCGTGGAACGTATAGTGTTGAGTGTTTGTTTATTTCTTTTCTTAATATTATCATGCTATGCTAATAAATTCATTTCTTTTCCAGGATTTGAGCAATACTGCAGTGTTCCAAATAAGTTAATGAGAAGAGTGTGCGCAAGTCTATTTTCTACAGTTCTTGGCAAACGCAATTGTGCTACTGCATCATTAGAAAAATAAATATTGTTTACTGAACTCTTGAAGACAATTTAGTGATAACCTGTTTCATTTTCACTTGCCTCGAATGTTTTACATAAATTGCTGGTGAAATAGTTAAAATGCATGATATGTGAGTGAATATTGTAGTCAAAATAAACAAGTGAGTTTTAAAATGTGAATTAATGTCATGTAAATATCAGTCGAAAGAGTACAGTCAATAAATAAATTTGATACATGACATAAATTTGTATTTTAAAACCCATCACTTGTTTTTGACTTAATATTTTCAATCTCACCACCGACACACCACCTAAATGCCACCCGGGCTACCGGGCGCCACCCGGACGAACCACCTACTTGCCAGCTCGATGCCACCTAAACGTGCCACCTCGTGCGCTTAAGCGGCCAATTTCACTTAAATGCCACCTCGATGCCACCTCCTTCCCACTTGGCCCACCCCGTTGCCAGCTTGCTGCCACCTCGCCACCTAGTTGCCACCTCGTTGCCACTTGGGGCTGCCACTTCGCCACTTAAAAACCACCTCTTTGCCACCTTACTGCCACCTTGCCACTTACTATTTTTCCCAGGGAATGCATGCTGTTGGGTTTTCAGAGTACGATATAGGCAAGCGCTTTAAGGCAAACCTCAGTCTCAATTAAAACCAAAGTCTCAAATAAAACCAAAATTGGACCTTATTGGTTAGTAGTTTTATCACACCTTTCCGATGATATCATTAGTCACCGTTTCGTTCGGGGCGGTATACCGCCTTACTATAGGAAGTAGCCTCGAATTGAAAAGATCTCTTACAATGAGACTGTCGGCACGCAAGTTGACTACAGCAAACATTTTGCTATACATCCCACCACAGCCAAAGGGGCGTACCCAACTCCCCCACTCCACGGGTGGAGCCTAGGCATGGCTTCAAGCCGGTAGTGGCGCAATCGGCAGGTATGATAACCCTAGCGCAGGGCTAACAAGCAACAACACACTGGCGACCGGACCGGGGTACATGGAAGTGAGTGTAATGCAGCATGCTAAGGTCAAGTTCACCACGACTCGCGGAACTCGCTCGCCAGTCGTGCACTCGGAGGTGATAACCCTTGTAGCAACGGGTGCTGGGAGGTGGCACTGCATCGGCAGCAATGGCGCAAGAAAAGGGAAGGTGAGCAGAGCCCTGGGCTAGCGAGCAGGCTATTGTAACCTCGTTACTTGAAAACAAATCTTCCCTCGGTGGCCCCAGCATGCGGCGCGCGCCTCGGGCCCGAGGGCCACACATCAGAAGCCTCCTCGGTGGCAGCGGGTATGGTACGGGAGGCCCCGGAGAATGGAGCAGAAAAGGAGAGGGCTGAGCGGGCCGGAGCAGCGTTTGGAGGGAGTGGCGGAGCAGGGAAGGAGAGGGCTCTCGAGACGCCAACCTGCGCGTTGAGGTGGAGCGAAACAAAATAAATCCCGCAGCAATCACAGGCCGCTGCCCTTTGGGACGCTTGTGTCTCTTTTTCGCGCGCGGAAAATGTTGTGCGCTGATTTCCTAAGTGGAAGAAAGACGAGGAGGGGGCAAAAGGGTCCTTGCGCAGCAAAGGCCCCCGTCCCGCCCCACGGCAGAGCGGGGGACTGAAATTATTCCACCGCAGGTTGGCGAAAAAGAAATGCGAGTCGTCTGATCTGTTTTAGAGTTGTTTGTCACTGGATTGCGTGGCGTTTCGGCCGCGTTTATCGGGCGTTGCCGAAATGAAAAGGGCTGAATCATCACGGTTGCATCGGGCAGTGCTTTTGATGCCCTTTTGTTGCAATTCGTTTGGTCCGCCCAGATATGTGCAATTATGAGGGGGAATATATCAATGCATGCCACTGCTGGTTGCCGCGCGGTATCTCGTTTGAAAGACCACCAGCGCAAAAACTTTTACCAGCGCAGCAGGATGGTCTACCACAGGGGCCAGGAAAGCAGAAGGAAGGGGGGATTGGCCTCAACCTCAACAAAGACCACCACTGCCTCTACAACCCCTGCTGCAGCACTAGGCTCACTCACCTGCCGTCGTCTCTGTGTGTGTGTGTGTGTGTGTGTGTGTGTGTGTGTGTGTGTGTTGGGGTGGGTGCACTTATTGCTCCGTCCGACCGAGACCCATTGCGGTGCATGTTTCATGAATGCAGCAGCAACCCTGCTGCTCGGTGGCCTACTTTCGGTATGGTGCTTTGCGCCGGCAGGGTTGGTGGCCGTGGTGGTGGTGGTGGTGGGGCCTCCTGATGCTCACCTTGCTTCCTTATCACGCCTCGTGACGGCGATAATGTTTACCTCACACGAAAAACGAGGCACCGCGGCCATAAGCGTAAAGTAAATTACCAAACGACCCTCCAGCAGAAGCAGCAGCAGCCCAGCGCACCCCCCTCACCTCTCTCACCCTCTCGCCTCGGGCCGGCCCTGGGCGCCCCAAGAGTTTGCCAGTCTATTAGGGGCCTGCTTGGAGCAGGGTTGAGAGAGACGAGGGGGCGGCGCGGCGGAGCGAAACTCGCTTGTCGCGACAATCTGCCACACCCCCCCGCGCGCGTCGCCGTGGACTTTTTCTTGCCTTTATGATAATCCTTACGCCCCTTCCCCCCGCCACACCCCTCACCCTTCAAGCGCTCTCTCGCTCCTCCTTGCACCCCCTTAGTCCCGAGCCCCCTTCCCCCTCACTTTCTTGTGCCTCGCGGGGTGGCTTTTCCATTCCTGCTGCAGCGCGCTAAGTGTTATGAGATAGTGTCAGTGGCAGGCTGCGCGCCGCACTCAGCGTGCTCAATGCGCGCGCCACACAACGCGTGCGCGCCGGAAGAGGAGAGATGGAGGGGGGGTGAGAAGAGGAGAGAGGGAGGTACGGTGAAAGGGGTAGCGCGAGGGAGTGAGAGAGAGGGAGCGAGGGAGAGGGAGACGGAATGCTTGTGGGGGTTTCACTTCACACCAGTGTTGTCGCGAGAACTAAAGCTATAGCCGGGCTGCGATATCGTGGCGCCACGGCTGAACGCTCTCCGCGAGCGTGTCCGCTTATTATCACAACGACGTCATCGCCGCAATGTTTTGCAGGCCTATGTACAAGCTCCGCGCGGCAAACGTTTTAAAATAGCTGTAACGCGTGTTTTGGTCCCTCCCTCTCTCTCTCTTTTTGCAAGCGCCGCGGTAGAGAGGAATTATCGACGGACTGTCGCACGACGCGGACGCGGACAATGGCAGGGGAGGGAAGTTCGCGAAAGGGAAGCGGGGAACAAAAGCTTAAAGCTTTGCGCCCTTTGATTGGAGGTGTCGGTGCGGCGCCGACCACCAATCCTCTTGCCGCAGTAACGTTTTTACCCCCGCCCCCATTTTTTTTGTCTGCGGTGACATCAAACGGCTTTGGACACCTTGAAATCCTCATAATGCTTTCTCTTATCGAGTAAAGCTTTCTGCTCCTTTCACTCTTTGATTTTTCATCTTGGTATGAGCCTAGTACATTTATTTCCTAGTACATTTTTTGCCCTAGACCGCCTTAGACTCAGTGCTCATTTGCGGACTAATTTGTGAAGGTGGTCGTGGTGCCGTCGCAATCAAATGTCGGGAATGAATGGACTTTGTTACTTGCCACCCTTCATCTCGCGGATGCGGAGACTGAGGAGCAGCGAAGACCCTTGCTCCAGGCGGCAGGCGCCAGACGTTTGACGTGAGGTCGATGCCCGCCTGCCCCTCATCGATGTGCGCCGCCCCCGCCGGGGCGCCCGGCTGCCCCCGCCGCGCCGCCTCCGAGCCGCCCCCTTGCCGCCTACGGCTGAGCGCCCTGCGCGTGGGGCGTCGAGGGCCCCATTGTTCCGCCAAACTTACTCACCCCGCGCGAAAACACTCGGCGGGAGCGTGCGTCGCACTGCTGCCGCGACACCCCCTCGTGCCTATTGTAAACTCCTATTGTGAAGGAATCTGTCTCTCTCTCTCCAACCCCCTCGCTCCATTTCCCTGTGCCGCCCCCTCCCTCTCTTCCCTCTTTCGCCTCTCTATATGTCTGTACAATGCCTGATCTCCTGGTTAGCATTGGTGGGCATTCGCCATTGCGAATGTGCCCAGTATGCGAAATAAGGTACAATGATGAATTCATTCACAACTAGTATATTGTTGAGGACAGAAGAGCAAAGAATAGACAAACTTGTGAACGTGACATTATTATTGTACTGCGTACTTATTTCATATTGTTTCTGATTGCAGGCCAACAACAGCGCCAAATCCGTGCTTCTAGTCATCTCCGTGGCCGGCATCAAAGTATGCAGCCCGGACGGGCAGGTAAGTCTTTTTGGCTTCTTTCTTTAAAAAAAAAAAAAAAATGAAAATTTTACCCCCTTTTTTGTGTTTGGCTACGAAACTGCAAGCGAGCTGTGAGTCAGCGACATGTTGTGTCGGCTACAACCAGCCCCCTCGCGCACGAACACACCGGACACGGAGGAACACGACAAGCCTGACCACGCCCACTTCCGCCCGTTCGCCCCCTTTTTCTCCATCGTCCCTCTCCCTCTCTCCTCGTCGTCTCTGTGCCCCTTCCTTCATTGTCCACTAACCTCCCTCTCTTTTCACCACCCTCTCCCGTCTTTCTCTCTCTTTCTCTTCTTCCTGTGTACAAGACATCTACATACAACTCTGTCAGCCCGCCCCACCCCACCCCTTCCCGTTTCTAAATCAAGGTCCAGGCTCCCCGACCATATTCTTCTCCCTTCTTGTTTGGAGTTGCTCCGCACGTTGGCCATTGGGCTCCGCCAAGTGGACCTCCACATCCGGCCAAAGTTGTGAGCAGAAGCTCAGCGCGACGGAGTCGCCGGGGAGTGGGACGAAGGGGGAGGGGGGGGGGACTCTATGATCGCGGGGGAGGGATTTTTATTACCCTCCTTCCCCCGGCATTGTGGGGAAGCGTCGGCAGTCTGCTGCGGGGGTGCGGTTGTCTCACCCACTCTCACTTTCTCTGTCGCTCTCCCTTACTCTCACTCAGGCCTGCTCTATCTAGCTTTGCTGCTCGTAATACGGCTGATGGATGTAAAGAGGGTGCTGGTCGCCGACGGGCGTTTGTGTGTGATGGTATTGGGGTGATTGGGGGAATCTAATGCGGGTACATACACAAGCAGCT